AATCTGTACTTTTCTTATCTTCTTGTATTTATATAAAATTACATGTAAATACGCAAACTGTCCAAATAAAATTATCCAAATTTCTCCAAGCCCATTTAAATTGTTACAAACATTTTTCCAAAATTTCGTGAACAGATATTTTTTACCCAAACTAGCAAAAAAATATCCAATTTGGCAACGTTGACCATAACTATTACTAAATTTATTTGAACTTTCAAGAGCGTCACGGTCATGGCCTAATTGACTCACAAAGTTATGTATTCGATTCAGACTTAAATAAAAGTGCAAAAATATTCGTGGCTATTTTTATATCCAAATAATAATAGAATGATGATGAATATTGTTATCATTAGATTTGAATGTAATAAGTTTGAAATAAGATACAATTATTATTTTAAAAATGCTGAAAAACTGTTCACACTGAGTAGATTCTAAATAAAAAATAATATCTTAACAAAATATTAATAATCTATAACAATCAAATGGATTAAAACACGGACAAATTACAATTTTTAAATGTAAAATAACAAATAATAATAAATATAGCGTATATACTAGCTAATGTTAAAAAAGGGATATAATAATAAACAATAATAATAATAAAGAACAGAAAATACACGCCGAAGAAAATTAATTATTTCGTCTAAAAATTAAAACAAATTCGAAAAACGAACAGTTAATAATTTGCTGGGGAACAGGACTTGGTAAAGAGCCGCCTGTCAGCTATGTTCGAAGGGGAGCGATTAAATTGAAATTCCTTTTTTAAATTCACCAATGGGGGAGGGGTGACATCGGATTGGCTCGATGCGTCCGAGCGAAATAATCCTCTGATTGACGTGCAGTTTTGTGCGTTTGTGATATTATTATTTCATTTCATTCTAAAAATATTTTTTATTATTTATTTGTTTTGTAAAGATAAAATAGAATAAACTATAACAACAATATAAATAATTATTCGAAAATGTATTTGAACAATAATAAATAAATAAATATTATAGAGTAAATAGTAGAGAACTAAGTGAAACAATAGTCGTTCTTAAAAAATATTTTATCTTGGATTTTTATTACTAATTTGTTCTATTTGTTCTTATATTTCTTGTCTCTGTAGAAATTGCATTGGATAAAAATAGCGCACGCGCTGTTTTTTTACACTAAAAATGTCTAAAAACTATGGAATATTTTTATAATGGAAAATAATTATATCTGTAGTACAATCTATAGTGATATATGATTATAGGCGTAATAAAAGTACACGGCCACACCTCCTCTAGAATAAAAATTAGACTCCTAGATAATATACAATATCAATGATAAAAACACATTTGTTGCGTATGCTTCATTGGGCGGTGCCCGGCAATGAAGTACACTTGGCTACATATATTAAAATACATACATTAAAATTACAATTTCTTAGACATTGCGTTGAGATTTAGTATCAATATATATTTTTTTATATCACTGACGTGACAAATAAGTACACAACCCACCTGATAGTAGACGTTTAGGTGTAGACGTTTTAGTCTATGTATGCCTGCAATACCAGGCCCATTACTCGCGTTGTCGATACTAAAGACACATTTTGACTCCTTTTTTGAAGAACTTCTTACTGTAGTTTCTTGGAGTTGAAACCTAGACAGGAAATTTATTCCATAACCTGAACATTCGTGAGAGGAAGCATCGTTGAAAATGTGTTGTACGGGAATATCCAGACTATGGTATAGGGGTAAAATCATTATCGATGCATAGCTGTACAAGCAGTAGAATACACAGAGTATGGCAAAATCTTTAAGTAATCTATTATGTAAAATATTTCAATTTTTTTTTTTTTTTTACTTTAATTGAGAATACGGAGAAACATAATCGAGAGTTAAATAATTTGCTTTTATAATAATGTAATTGACAAAAACTATAACTGTCTTCTACTCGTATTTGTTATTTTTTTACCAAAATTTAACAACGTAATATCTCCTTTATAACAATCGTCATCATAATGCTTGCTACACGTTTTTTGTTTAATTATATTTAGAATATTTTTTATAACATATTTTTTTATGTATAATGACGACATAAAACTTGAAAAAGTTTATATTTTGAATTCAAGATTGAGAATTCTTATTGCAATATTCATTGCAACATCAATTCTAGTCCACAATTCATAGAGTACTTTGAAACCAAATGGAAGACTCTTAAGATTGGCAGAGTCAGAGAAAACGATAAATTTTAAATGAACAACTAAATTTTTTATGGCGTTTTAGATTGGATTGACAACCTCTGTCGTGTGCGTAAAAATAGCAAACCTTATTACTAATGGATACTCCGAGAGTACCTAATGTAAATATCTCAATCTTTACTGATTAAAATTTTTTAATGAAACAAAAAATTGGAAAAGAAAAAACAGGATAATATTATATAATCGGAATACAAATGAACTTAATTTGAATTAATTATAATACGAATAGATATGGCTATTAATTTTAATAGTACATAACATAACATTTTATTTATTGTTAATTATAAGTTGTAAATATTAAATGAAAATTTTATTTTTATATTCATAAAATATTCTAATGAGCAATTTTAAAATACATGTTAATTACAAATTAATTTCAAAGAAAGTAAATATAAACAAATTTATTAAAATTTCATATTTTTAATGAATAGTAGTCAGCACTTAACTACATATTTGTAGGATCCAGTTACAGTTCGTTTTATGTTTTGTCTTACAATATTTTCTGGAATGGTACATATCAATGCCGATATACAGTAACGTATATTTCCGGGTTTATTCTCGGGTGACTGTACAAAATGTATTGAGTCACCGGGCCGTGAACTGAGACAACATATGGCATCTTGTTAGTTGAACATAGTACCGGACGGACGTGTCGTGGTGGACGCTAAACCTGCGGCCATAACCTTGCCTTGCTGTGTTGCGATTTTTCCATTCGTAAGTTTTTGGTTATAACTATAAATTGATAAGGGAGCTATTCACATTACTAGCAAAACACTTATACTCTTCCATAATACGTAAATATAAGAATCGTTCATCTTAAATCCTATATAATATAATACTTACTGTATTATATATGTGCATTTGTTTATTAATGTTTAAAACTTTATTATTTCTGAATTATTATGCGTAAAATCTAAGTAAAAAGTTTTTAACTGTATAATTTATTTATTTTCGATTTTCAAATATTTAAAAATTAAAAAAAAAACAGGGATTGTTTAGTAGAAACTATTTTACGAATCATGTTTTAGTTTGTTTATTAGCGCATTGATTAAATTATTTGTTAAAATATACATACGAGTATAATATTTTTAAAAATATTTTGATATTTTATTGATAATATAGATCTTTTTAGCTTCTTTTTATTATAAATTTTCTTAGATTAAATTATAAAGGTAAGGTAAAATTAACGTTTTTATTTATTGTTCTATTAACTAGTTTTCTATATTTTGTTGACAAAATATTGGCAACGTCTTATTACGCGTTTTGTTATGTATCGTTATGTTATGCCTCATTCGATGGATCAATCGATAATCACCGATCTTTTCGCATATTGTGTCTAAGACTAGCAAACTATATGTAATTTGATATTCGTCATTTCATTTTGAATGATTGAGATGTAAAATCAATATAATTCGGCTATAAGAAAATAAAGCCGATATAAAAATTTGTACAAAAAGTCGTTAACTCTTGAAAATTACCTTCCAGTTGAAAGTGAAAGTTTATATTTTTTGTATATTCTTTTTAATCTGTATTATTTTTAATCTATGCTGTAATTTTTTTTATTTCTGTAACTATGTTAATGATTATAATTTCATATAAGGTACCTATAGTTTCGATTATTTATTTTGATCACATTTTTTTTTTAATATTCAGTTCATTCGTGTCAATTAGTGCCAGAAAATAAAAGCAAATTGAGTATACTAATTATCCTTTAAACAAAGTCTATTTTATGCCACTACAATGTTATTAATTACAAGTACCAAAAATTTCGATTTGTGTGGCCACACCCTGAGAATAGAGACCGGCCGCTTACTGTTACGTCACTACACGTGCCTGACTATTTAACGGTCTGCCTATCAACAGATATATGTACATCTAAGAAGACATAGGTACATATTATACATATAAATTTGTATAGTCATCTTATCAAAATGTTTTTAGTACTATTTATATAGTAATATATATATTATTTATATTGATTTATATCAATACATTTTCTGTGTTAGGCTTTTACTCAATTTACACATAGGACTAAGTTGAGCCTGTCGTTGTACTCTCTAATATAATAAATAAATTAAAGGTAATACATATTGTAATTAAATAAAAGATTTATTTGTTATTAAATAATCTAAACAAAGAACAACATTTTGAACAATAAATTCGTCTATAAGAATTGATTCACTATATATGAAATAAAATGACTACACCAAATAATAATAATAATATAACATAGTTAGGACTTTCATGTCTAATTAGGAGTAGTTAAACGTATTTTATAATTTTGCTTTTGTACTTATGACAATAATTAATATGATAGTACAATATTTTGTAAAAATATTGACTATATATTTGGGTATCCCCGAATATGAAACGTGAGTAAAGCCGACATAAATAATTACAGTGAGAAATGTTACATGTGCTATATAAATTATTAATATTTAAAATTCTTTAATAAACATAGGCCAAATATTTTTATTTTATATATTATTATTTTTTACTAACTATATTCCACTAATGTAGGTACTGTATATTATCTTAATCAAGGACAGGTACAAATGCACAAAATTTTATTCAAACCTATTTAACCGTTTAATTATAATTCAATAAACATTCAAATGTTTAAATTTACAATATTAATAGGATAATATGGTATTTATTATTAATTGTGTTTCACAAAAAGCGGACGTCATTTGCAACAAAATCTTTTCTCTTTGATTTTTATTAAAATTTCTATGGTACCAATGTGTAGATATATCCTTTCAGATAAAAAAAATAATTTCCCGTATCGGTTTACAACTGACGGAGTTATAAAGTAATAATCATTAAAAAAAAACATACAACCGAATTAAAAACCTTCTTTTTAAAATCGATTCAATACTAAAATTACTCACAGAATTGTAGACGCAAATGTTCCCATTTCTCTAAACGATGTGTCAATTTACTTTCCTACTTTATATCATCGTTGTCCTAAACACTGCCGTAAAATAACACTCGAAAATCCATTTGCCCCCTACCTCTGATACTTGACGTCGAGGAGCTTCGAAAAACCATCCCTTCCTGGTTATTATTAGGTCTCGCAGACCTTGTTAGCCCGGAACGAGGGGTAAGCAAATCTGAGGAGCAGGGAGGGGTAGTGAAGGGTGCGGCGGGGTAGTGATGTAGGCCTGTCGTCGGTCGGTGGCACTCCGCAACGCGCAGCTGGCTCGTGGCCCACACGCTCCCGCGCTCTGCAAATGGTGAGATTTGACACATTTAATTTCTTTTTCCTATTTGCTTATCATTCATGGAATTTAGACAAATGTCGTTCGGCCGTATAGCCTAGATTCCAGCGATTTTAGTTTTTTTTTTTTATTAATTATCTATCCAGGATTCTAGCATAAATTATTTTATGCCATAGTCCTGAACACGTCGAACGAAAAAATGTGTTATTTTTTCTCATAAAACTAACGATTAATTTAATATTTAATTAAAAATTATGGTTAGTTTAAAACATCTTTCCTTCCTTAACAATAGATAATTAACTTATGACGAACATTTAATGTGATAAAAATAAGACGTTATTTTTGTAGAAATCTTAATGAAATCTTCCTCATATTCCTCATTAGTTCGTTTTAGGATCTTTTATAATTAATTATTAATAAAGTATATTGTTGATCTCGCTATAATATTAATTATTTTATATGACATTAAATCATAAATATTGTGACGAAAGTATCATTTTTGACTATAATTTATTATAAATTATAATTTATAAATATTAACTTGTTACAACTCAGTGTGAAACTTAATGGAACACATGGAAAGCCGAGCTCATACTGTGGCCAAGTTTTCTTAGTGTTTGGTCCAAGTGATAAGATAAAAGTCAATAAATATTTATTTCAGTTAATATGAACATTTTAATTATTATACTTGTATAGTTTGAACAGGCATATTACTCAGTATTATAATAATTTATTTCATAATTAAGATACCAAGACATAAACAAGAAGGTATCCATATTAAATGGAAAGACTTCATAGTTACAGATATAGAAATATTTTTTTTAATATCAGATTTTGTTAACAGTCTAATAATCTAAAAACAGAAATAAAACTATTAATAAATAATAATTTAGGATTAATATCTTAAATGAAAATATTAATTTTCTGTTTTATAAAGGTTTAAAAACCGTATTATATACTTTCTAGATTTTTTTTTCTAATTGATAGCTTAGTATCTGCTTTCATAATGTTATTATTTCAAGTGCATTTGAAATAAGTCTATTGTATGTCTACTAGTACTCTTGACTAAGCATTCATTATACATTATTATTATTAGCTTAAGGACCGAGCGGTTAGTTTGATTATGTGGTATATATTACATTATTATACATAAAAAATATCACAGTATATATTCATGCTTACCTGTGATTTTTCTCATTTGTTTCTACTTCTAAGAACTAAGACCTTATCATACTTATGAATTGACATAATAGGAAACGTATCAACATGTGCATTGTTGCTTTACTAAGATGAAAGGTATTTGTTTATTCGATTTTTAGGTACTCAGTTATTCTAAAACCGCTCAATGATTTTGATTTTAGAGTACAGATATTATATATTACTAGTAAAGCCACGGAAAATGGTCAACAACCGTTTGAGTAACGTTACTGCTCATGTGATGACGTCTCCCTCTGGTGTTAATTTACACTACCATGTATATATATAATCTGTATTATTCATATCGAATTATCCTGTTATAACTTACGCAGTTTTGCTTTATCATTCTGATAATGCATAATAATATAGTTTATTTATATATATTATACGTATGTATATGCTTATGTATCTAGCTTAAAAATATACTTAATTAAAAGAACTTGTTCATATCAGCTTTCCATGGGTCAATATCTACAAATATTAGATTAACCGTAAACACATATATACCTAAATAAGTCAGTCCGCATTCCGCTGTCACGCCCGCGTGATTTTGCTTTGTCACGGTATCGCGGTGTTAACACTTGTAACTACATAAGCTTCTGATATAGACCACAGGAAATTTCCACATACTATTTCGTATAAGAGAAATTATATTCGTAAGAAGTAGGCAACTATTTGTGTTTTTGTTCAAATTTGAATTATTAATGTAATACTTTTATAATAAAAATGTCTGGATAAAATATTTGAACAGTTTTGCTCATAAAATTACAGTTTGCAGAAGTAGTTATTTTAATATTAAATTGCCAATATTTTTTTCAAACAAATTAAATTTTAAATGTAACATAATTATAGATTAGATCTAGGTATAAATAGAAAATACTATAATTATTTTTTCATTCCCATTTTTATCAGATCACTCTCCAGTGTTTGATAACTTTCTAATATAATACAGGTGTAAATTCTGATTTAGATAATTTTCTTTACAAAGTTTTATGTTTGTTGATATATATTTTTACAAATGAACTCATAATCCAGATAATTTGTATCTAAAATAGGGGTGTCTTGATATCTTAATTATGAAAAACGATTAACGTAGATAGCACGTTAACTAATTTCCCTTACTAATTCGTATGTAATACGTGAAACTATGTTTTGCTTTTGATCTTCGTAAATATCTCTAGTAAATTTTAATAGAGATTTTGATCAATAAGAATAGAGGCAAAGGACACAAATTATATTTTTGTTTTTATTACTTTAAATAATAACCATTTTTATCATAATATAAAAATAATCAATTAAGTATCTGTAGGTATATGTCAATTTCACCAGTAAATTACCATTAAACGTTTATCAGACGTGTAAAAACGCGCATCCCTACTATAAAAGTATCCCATTAACTCTACACGCGATAACGTAAAACGAAAATCTTTCCTACTCAACTCTTAGTAGGTTTTCTTCGTCTTTGTCAAATTGATCGATATGTGAGTTAGTTGTCGGCCTGTATTTGGCGCATGTAATCTATTAAATTTGCTTTGTCAATATTGACACATTCTCCCGTCTCCCAGGGTCAACTTTGTCCATTACGCCGACCTCGTAAAAAAATCGTATACCCACAACAAACTCGTCTTGTACCTAGGGACCGCTCGTAACAGTCCATCAAGCTGACTTCGCCAAACCTACCAAAAGTAGAAGACATTCAAATCGAGTGGGATTGTATTATTTTTATTGTATTATTTACGTTATCGGGGTATGCGGGAGTCTGCGCGACGAAGGACGCTTCGCCGCTCGTCGATACCGAACCTCGTAATACGCATGTGCGGAAACCTTAGCGGTGCTTTGATAATATTCTGATTTCTCCTTTTATGCATGTTAATGCATGATATCAAAATAAGTCTGACCTTTGTACCTTATTTCTCGCTATTACAAGTGAGAAATGAGATACCTTTAACACACAATTAACACTTTGAAACTTTCCATCAAAATTGAATCATGCGTTGTTTATGTTACTTTAGAATCGCTAAATCTTTTCACTTGCATTAGCTAATGTAGAACTTTCTATTTATTCATTTATCTTAATAAAATTTATATAAATAATTGTGTAATTATATGCATATAGGTGTATAATGTACACATATATTAATAACGGTTTCATATAAAAATCGTTGTATTTACATGACAACCTAAATAAACTAACGCCCTGTATAAAATCCTGTAAACCAACATGAACATAAAATTTCTCACATACCCGTAGATTATTGTGTAATTACTCGTATATCGCGAACATTTTCGTATTTGTTTCGTAAGGTTTAAAAAAAGAATCTTGTTCGGCGTAAGGTTACACGACGCACGCCCCTGGGAATAGTCGCGTGACAAAGTTGTATGAAAATTAATGTATTTTTATTACTTGCCTAAGTTATATTCATTGTCATTAAAACTTTCAAAGTTCATAAACAGGCCTGTAAATAAATAATATCTATGTTCTTGAGGATTGCGTGTCCCTTATTTTCATTTGACTTGACGCGAGTGCGTTTTACAGTCTATTGAATAACAAAAATTTAGAATATCCATCCAAAATTATAGTTAGAATAAAGTGAATAAAATTCTTTATACTGTTGAGCTTTGTTTTGTTTTAAATTTTTATTCTAAGCGATATCATCGTAGTAAATTCACCAGAAAATAAAATGCTACGATGAGAGAGGTTGTTTCTTTGTTATTCAACCAACTTAAAAAAGAAGGACGTTTACAATTCGGTTGAATTTATTTTATGTTTTTTTACTTTATAACTTCGTCAGTTATAAATTTGGAATATTCTGTCTTTATTTGAAACTGTATACTTACAGATTAGGTCCATAGATATGTTATCCAAATCGGTTCAATATTTTATATTACGAGTCAAAATAACTGGTCTCAATCTTAAATTATTAATACTTGTTATATATTGTACTTTGGTATTTACTATTATCCATCTAACTAAATAGTTACATATTGAAAATATATTTGTCCTTTTCTTTTAATGACAGAGAAATTATATTAACAAATTATATTAATATATATGTGTTTCGGTTTGAAGGGTGGGATATGGCGTGAATTTACTGGGTACGGAGGAATAACACTTGAGTCCTCAGGAATTACAACACATGAGGGGTATCATGGGCAAAACAGTATACTCTGTTATGTCCATGGTACTGCTCAGGTCTATAAGCGACGGTTACCACTTTTCATCAGGTGGACCGTCAGCTTGTTTGCCATTCTAAGTTGTATAAAAAGAAAATATAATGATATTAATGTAATTGCAATCTCACTACTAAGTATGCGTGTGTACCCCTTAAAGGAAGATTATTAACTTACTATAGAAGTCTTATGTCGAATTTTCCTTCACTTTCACTAATGTATTGTGCTTTGCTCCCCTAGTCGCCTCCTCCAATATCCCGGGGATGAAAAAGAATAGTGACATAATTATTTTATTCTTACTCCGTGACTGCACAGAAAATTGACTTACTATATATATCTATTACAGACGCGTTTGTGAATCTTTGTCTAATAGTTTCTAATATTAAAAAGAAAAATAGGAATAACAGCATATTTTTATTTATTTAGAGAATTATTATATTTAATTTTTTTTATTATAACAATTATAATATTCTTTCATACAATTTTCTTATGACGAAAAACAAATTAGCGAGGCTGGAAAAAGAAATGTAATAATAAGGTGTTATTCACAAAATATACGTTACGGGAGTAATATTTTTTTTATCAGATATGTGAAAAAATATGAAATTTCGTCAGACGCCTAATGTTTCTATGTTAGGTATTCTTTTAATTCATTGATCATATAACTTCTAAAACCCACGATAATATCTCATAATATGAATAATAATTTAGACCCAGTATAAACTGTTCTTATCTCTAACAAATAAATTTTATCAGCTACCTGTGTAAGATGACAAACAATATACAAGCTAATCTCGGATGATAGGAATATTATAAAGTAGTGCAAACATTTGAGAAGGCAGCTTCCGTTAGCCTAATCTATTATAAAAGGAGATAATTGTTCAAGTTTTATTAGAATCCAGGCTAACTCAATAAATCAGTGCTTAATCTTATCTATAGTGATATCAGGTGTTAATGTTTAATGTTGTTCAAACCTCGCAGGCTTAATAATATAGCTCCAAACGAAAAAGAATTTTTAATTTTATGTAATACGCTTCATTTTTTAAATTTTCAATACATAGGTATAATATAAAAATCGATAGTTGTTTTAATTCACAATTTACAGTCTGGTGATTACTTCTATATGAAGAATATAGAATATAATAACTCAGTAATAAAACCTACAATTTTCCCCTTTCTTACTTTATAATTATCTAAAAAGAGTAATATCGTATAAAAAATAGGACACAAATGAAACATTCGCCAGGTCCAATGAATATAAGCGAAGGACATATTTGGTAAGGGAATTCGTGTTTAGGAAAATATATGAAGGTTAATAAAAAGGCAGGAAGTTAACAATAAATCCTGTGTCAGTGACCTCGTGACTTGAATATTATGTATGGGTGCAGATGAAATATCCAGACTAACAAAAATAACTAGTATTTATGAGTAACATGAAAAAATTAATTACGGCACAAACCATGTAAGGATATAATGGAATGAAACATTAGTTCAAATGGTTAATACTCATAATAGTTACAATTCTGGAGTAAACATTTTTCTGCGTCTATGCCCCAGAAGGACAGCCTCACAGCTATGTGGCAAAAATGTCGTTCAATTTATTCCCAAATTTTAGTCCCGACTGGTCCCTTTTTGTTACCATCTGCGCGGCCCGCGACTCGAACGTCCAGACAGCTCCACCCTAAAAACCGTTTAGACAAGATTCTTATCCTCTTACTCAACTGTCAAATCATATAACCTTATCTCTGTCTAAAAGTTCGGATAGCCAGGACCTGTCGCCCGTCCTTTTTTTGCACACGCGTTCAGATTGTTCTATCCTTTCTGACTCGTATTAATTCGTGTGTTTCCGCTTCCCACACGAGTGGCAGCCATGTTTGGCGGGACTGTCAAGTCAACGCCAGTTTGGCGCGTACAAGCTGGATGAACAAGGTCGGTTTCCAATAGTGGAAACCTTTTGATACTTATTCTGTAATTGGTATCACAACGTGCGTCCTCTAAAACAATTTTATAATATCCATAAAAATTATTTCAGATGGCGTCCGTTGGAATATATAAGTTGCTATGGACAATAAGGATCAAGATCAATTGTAAGTGGTTACAGAAATATTGTAATTAATATTTATAGAATAAAAATATTCATTTCTCTTGTAAACCTTCGCCCTTAGTAAAATATTGGAAATTTTTTGGCATTACTCCAAGAACATTCGTTTTGTTCATTTTTACGGGCAATTTTCCGCCTCCGTTATAAGCCTCTGGTCAATAAAAAATATTTATATTATTAATGCGAACAAGTTCTACTGTCTTCTTTGCTATATAATTTTAATTTATTTTCTCATCTTTATTAGACTAAAAAAAGTTATTATGTGTATTAGCATAACCTTTTTTTGTTCGTAATTCTGCAACTAATTGTTTCAAAACTGATACATTACTTAGACTATTATTATTGCCCAAACTATCTTACAGCTACAGTATCTATTAGACCTACCAAATTCAAACAAAGATAGTTTTATGAGAGAGTCAGCGGACCCATAAAAGGCAAAGTTATAGACAATAGATTCAATGTGTTCAACATCAAAAGACGTAACAAAGCTTTGCCGATAATTGTTTGAGCTCAAACAAACTTTCTGGGTCGCTATTTATTAGTGCCGAAGTCCCTGCATTTGTTATTGGTTTTGGACATTGAATTGATAAAAAAAATATTTGACAGCGAATCAGATACGCAAAGGATTCTCTACTTAAATTTTTAACTAAATAAATTTTTTCTTGAATTAAATTAAATCATAGTTTTATTATTGTAGTTATCATTGTTTCATAAAATAATATATTAAATCTCAAGTATTATAATTTTAGATTTTCTTGTTACTTTTATCGGAGTATGGTAAAGAAAGCTACATGTTTGTTACTTCATATTTAAATGAAGGCCTAATAGTTATTTGTGTTTTTTTTTTATTTATATTCCAAACTCGTATATACCATTGATAAAAGTAGATTAATGTGAAAGAAAAATCATTTAAAGTACACCTTATAACTTTGTATCAGTCTATTTTAACTAAAAATTTGCACGTAACCCTATTTTTATATTTAAAAATTATTTTTTGTAAAGCATAAGTTCTTTTTTCACAATGAAGTAAATAATAAAGACTAGATGAAATCTTAGTAATTATACAATACGTAAAAAATTTTACAATTAAATAATATCAATCGGTTACCCACCAAATAACAAGGTACTAACACTATTGTAAATTATCTAACTGTCACCTTTGTTTAACACTATACATATTCAATAGTTGAAATGCTAATGACTCTTACAAATCTGATCACCCACTTAAAATTTAATGTATGAGCTCTTGTCATAGTTATGACACGTTTTTTTATAAATATGATATTGTTTAAGTTGTTGAACAATATTTATTGCTATTGTTGATTTCTTTTGTGGATATTTTATTTCTTTTTATAGATTTTGATTTTGTTTTGAGCCACTAGCATTTACTAACTCACTAAATATATAAATTTTAATGTTATAAGGCCCATCATCAAGTCACAAATCATTATAAATATTGAGTCATACTCATAATACAAATGCGTTATTGTAGGCACTAAATATTGATGACTATTTAAGACGATTTCAACCTACTTTTTTCTATTAGATTACTTAACACTGTCTTGTTAAAACATTATTGCTCGTTGATTTTCATATTTATTGTCATAATTAGTCTGTTTGTGCTGTTCCTGAGATTCTATGTCTTCCTACATTCCATTCGTATGATTTTCTAATGCCTATGGAGTTGGCACATACGTATCATATCGAGTAAACAGGCTACAATTATGTAGAGCGGACTAACAAAACGTGTAAATGGGCCAATTACCGCTGTGAATGTAGGCTACCGTACAATTAGTGGCTTGCTAATAGTTTTCATCACCAATAGTTTCAAACGATGCGCCGCTTGAGAACAGATCAGATCGACACCGTCCCTCGTTGAGATCACAACGTTTTTTACTTGAGTGACAGTATCAAAAAAGTCTTAAAGTATATATTGACAGTATAATATAGTGATCCTTATATTTCTGTTTTTGTTTAATTTCAGTTACACCTTGTATTAACTGGGTCTCCATGGCTGCATTATTAAAGGTATGTCCCGTAATTATTTTATTTTTATATACCTTCATATTAATTGTTTGACACATTATAATTTATCTATAATTGAAGGTCTGCTTCTACCTTAACTTCTAAAATTTTTATAATATACTAGGTTATGTTTTATATAAATACATTCAATATTATTGTTATTATTATAGGATATGTATCGTCTTGATTTTTAGACTTAATCATAACTTAAATACTAAGTTATATAGTTTATGGCTAATATGAATTGAATATTTTGAAATTACCGCAATATATTTTTTGATAAGATCAAAAATATCAAATAAATTTTGCCATAAATCTTCCAAAACGCCAGTGTAATTTTAACGACTCTAAATTGAAGGTAGTTTCAAAAGTGTTAAAACCCTCGTTACCCGTAAATAAATTCAGACTTAGTTCATTAATTGGACTTTAGAATGTTTTACTGTACAGTCGTTACGAGACATAAAACTTTAGGATTTAAAAGTCAAATTACTTTTAAAAAGTTTACCTATAAAATATTTCCTTTGAATTATCTTTACAAATGGCTCTGATTATTGATTGTCTAAAAATATAATACAATATCATGACACATTCGATTCCAAACCTACCTTAACAATTATTTAATAGCCGCTTAAAAATGATGATCGTAAACCAGTTTTAAAGATTAACAACCTATTGGCATTCCTTTTAACGTGATTCTGTAATAATAATGACTAGAAAAAATATTATAACCTTTTATTAATTTCGATTATAAACTAGTTCTTAACAAATTTTTTTTTTTTGAGATTAAATACGAGTATATTCTATCTATTAATCTGACTATTTTATATGTTTAGTAAATTTAATTCAGCAACCATACAGACAGTTGTGCATGATTGAGTTATATATTCTAAAACATATAACCATATTTATAACATTATCAAATTACAGTGCTTAATTAATTTAAAATCTAAAAGTAATGATATAATATCTATAACTAATGCTATACTTATCTAATAAAAAAAAGGATAAACTCTATGTATTAAACGATGACCTTATATACATAACATATGGGTTTTCTACCTCGAAAACCAGGAACATATTGATAACTATGCTAGTATTCTTCATGCCTAATATAAAAAAAAAATTTAAAACATTTTGAATTTTATTTTTTAAGGAACCTTATTGTAAATATTAACATAACAATCATTAAATTAAAATAAATAATTCAGAGTAAACGGAAATATCATCTTCATAAATTTTTAAATAGCATTAACATAAAAAAAGGAAACTTGAATCGTTCACCATTATTATATGCGAATTATGTACATATATTTGTAAAATTAAATTTATACTAAATAAAATAACATTTTAATATTTTAACCAATACATTATATTTAAGGTTCTACTTCTAAATTAACGAGTGAAGTAATTATTATCATTAATCACACATTTAATAAAACTTTTTGTGTTCTCATAAAATTTAGAAACTTAAAATATTTCTTAGAAATTCATAGGTTATTGAAATACATCGAATTGGAAATTTAAATAAGTTTTTAAAAAATGCTTACTAAATCTTTTTTTTTCGAATTAAGTTCTATGCAGGCGAAGTAGTGTAGTCTCCTTATAATACTTACCTATGCACAATATAATACCCAATGACAGTCATTTAATTAATTCAATTTTATGTTTTGTATATATAAATATATTTTGATTTAGGTATATTATCTATAAGTACATCTACAATCTGCTATTTATAAATAGACTATTAAAAAAATATATAGAATATAGATGTATTTTAAATACATCTGTTAATGTTAAGGAACAATTTGAAAGACGTCAAAGTCAACAAAATAGCTACCTACGTAACGGATCAAATCAAACATCCTAAGACCCGCTTAGCAACTAGTGGGTCGAGTGCTCAACAGATTTGTCCAACAGCTGCTTGGTTACATTACAACTAGACAAGGAAGAGCTCTATGCAGCCTTAGAGATTACTGGTAATAAACCATTCAGCCTGGATAGGGGAGGTCAAATTAGGGTGGTCGTAAGTGGGGGTCTGGGCCATTCATTCCCAGGCCGGGGGCGGCGCTCATTGCTCGTGTCCGGAGCGCGCATGCGCGTCCCCTGACCCACTTGCCACCGCCGCGTCGCTGCCACCGCCGCGCTCAACGGATGGCGGCCTCGTTACGCCAAGGTTGGCGAATCAACGAATTCGCGAGTCGCAGACGTAGTGACGCGACGCCGTGATATATTCATCTCAATCTAATATATTTATTACGAAAATAGAATACGATTGATTTCTTAAATCTAGTATATAAGTAAGTTTTTTCTTTTATATTGTTTTAATAAAATCTTATGAATCCAATGAACACGAATTTTGAAATGTTATTAATTTTGTGTCTCTAATAAAAAATAATTTCTATCAGCATTAACATATATAACACAATACATAGAATTGTGTTATATATGTAATCTACTAATAGAATTCGTAAAACAAAAACAATGATAATATCACGCACATTCAATTAATATTCATCACGAGACCATCTTGTGACGAAATAGTAAAACTACACTAAAATATCTATTTTTAAATCATTATTCCTAAAGTGTACAAATGACGTGTCCACGTGATTCATAGTGATGCAAGATTTGCGAGATTCTACGATACTATAGGCATGATATGTACTAACATTGTTAAGTAATGATTAGCATACACCATCTAAAATGCATTCTCTGTCTGTAACACATCCTTCCGTTAACTAATGTAAATATACATAACGCAATGGAATTTTTAACACAACTTTCCCTTGTTGAGGCTTTCAACCTTGTCGAGTTAATGCGATCACGCCTCGATTTTAATAAGTTACGTGTGGACATTGTATAAAGCTATTCAAACATTATCGTCCTCACTTGTCGCCCTGTTTATCTAAAGACCGTCTACTGTCTACAGTATAACGCAATTACGATGATCGATTATGACAGTCCACCATTGTCGAGTGTTACACGCCAAATTAAGAACTGAATCGCAGGTGACGAGTCAATATCCCGTTTATTTTGCTTTCATCGATAAAAAAAAACTCGTGGCTGCCTGACGGCCCTATTTATAAATGTGACGGATGGGTGTTTTGATAATTTGTTTTTAACAAGTGACAAAATGAGTGATTCATCAACTTGTTCTATTTAGGGACTTCCATAATCATATGTTATTATTTCCTATCAATCTTATTTTAAAATTACATGTACTTGAAAAACGCATTCGAAACAATTAACTTATATATATATAATTTACACAAAATATTTTGAGTTTATTTTTCTGTTATTTCAGATGCATCATAACGGTAGTCATATGAGAAGAATACTTTCAAGAGGAGACTAATTTATGAAAAGAACATCATCACCTTAATATACCATCTTAAAATGGTTTGAAGTTTTACATTTTTAAATCACATCTGAAGGTGTCATAGAAAATTTTATATTTATTCATTCTGACACTATTACAATTTATAATTTAGAACTAGATATGTGCTTTGTGTTGTTTTATGTAATATTAAATTGTGTTCCACAAAGAAAAACTGACTTCAGTTGTAGGAAAACCAATTCATTTGTTAAAACTAAACTACTAAACCAATTTTAATAAATTTTCTACATAATAAATCTGTAAGCATATCCTTTCAGATAAAAAAAGAATTTTTCAAATCGATTTACAACTTACAAAGTTATGAGGTAATGAACATGAAAAGCAAATACAACCGAATTGAGAATTTTCTTCTTTTTGGAGTTTGCTGAAAAGTTGCTATATTTATCTATATCTATTGTAAAGGAGTATTATTAGGTTTTGGTAAAACATGTTTTAAAAATATGTGTCACTACTCCTTACAGGAAGTAAAGAGTAGTGACAGTAGTTTATTCTCAGAATGTTCTAACAGGTGGCTAAGGTAAAAAAGTACATAACGCGTAATACCTCTGGTATTGCAGGCGTTCATAGGCTACGGTAACCGCTTACCATCAGGTGGGCCGTATGCTTGTTTGCCACCTCAGTGCTATAAAAAAAAGAAAAGAAAATAAAAATAGTCCTATACCAAGTCAGTTAACTTAGTAGGGCCAATAATTTATTTTAAAGGAGAGTGACCATATCTAGTAATCTAATGTTAAAAGTTTTAGATATGTATTCTTAACATATGTATGTATTATTAAAATTTTTTATCATACATCTTAATCAAATTTCCATCACAATATTTTTAGTTTTTACCCAAATTTCTTTTTTATTTACTTATAATAATAAATTGTTAAACTAACTACTAAATACCAAATTTTTATATTCTAAAAATTATAAAATTAAGCATTCATAATTAATTTCAGACAGCGTTAATGAATACGGGATACACTGCGGGCGAATCAGCTAATATCCTTGTAATAAACATATTTTTACTTTTTTCTTCTTTTATAGCATTGTGTCAATATTATATTTGGTGCCCATCGGCATCAATATTAGTGCCCTACATCTACCCTGTAGATCCGAATTTGTTTGAAGTGAGGCGACAAATTCGGTTCTAGAGAGGTTTGTGTGGTGCATGCACTGCAACGATCAAGAGCAAGACAAACGAAGACTGGACTTGTTTATGGATATATTCTGGAACTACATACATAATTTGAGAATATTTAGTATTTTATTTATTAGGATAAATAGAAATATCAAAATTTTACGTACTTATTTCATAATAATATAGTGTGAAAAACATTTGTCTATATTAGATATATTGTGTTATACATTGAGTATTAAATTTTATTTAAATTAATAAATATTATAATTTTATTTTTCAGTTTAATAAGTACGTGTTGAACAGATGCAGTATCTGATGCCACAAATCACTAGTATATCGATAGATAACGATATAACTCGATAAACTGGTAATTTTGTGTCTGTATCGTTAATGACGATTGGAACTGCTTTTTCTGTATTGAACACGTACAGGTGCGAATGTTAAATATTATGATAATATAAATATTTGTAAAGACTTAGATGTTTAAATATTTATTTTATATTTATTTATTGAAATAAATGTATTGATTAAATGAAACAGTGAATCTCGAACCCGGTACTTTATTATTAGGCATTAAAATTAATGTTTCTGTACAATCTTACTTTTATTATTATTTATTTATTAGTCAATATATGCTAAATATATTAAAAAACAGCGTGTCGTTTGATGTGTCGACAATATTAGAGATAGATATATTACGATTGTTTTGCTGTAGTTAATTAAAAAAAATACAATTACGCAAACATACGGTAATATATTTTATTTATAGATTATGTTATAGGGATATGTTCACTGACCAAGTGCATATCAAATTTAGTAATAATTCGTTAAGCCGTTATTGCGGTAACAGGTAAACAAACAAACAATATTCTCCCGCGAACGCTCAGGCTGTGGAGCTCCCTGCTGAGATTATCCCTAGAGACTACAGTATGAGGTTCTTTAAAAAGGGTATATTAAGGTTTCTTCAGGTCGACAACATGCACGTGACACCCCTGTTGTAGGCATCCATAGGCTACAGCGACCGTTTACAATCAGACGAGCTGTATGCTTGTTTGCCACCTTTGTGGTAAAATGTGATACGAAACACGGACTTAATGCTATATATTTTAGTATAATATGGTATATTATTTAATTATAGTGTGGTAAACCTAAGTACCTAATGCAACTAATAAATTATATTATTAAATAAATAATGTCCTGCTTTAGATCATACTTTCATTAAGTTGAGTATATATATACATATATATATATATCTTTTGTGATAGATAGCTTATTAGCGATATTATTATATTTAACGGTTAATACTAATGTTTTTCGTCGGATTTGTATTTATAAATATCATATTATGGATTTGGTTCTTATGTATGATGTAACTGACATGTTTGATGCACTAAGGATCTTTTTGAATTGATTTAATTTATTCTACTAACATTAAAAATCTAAAAATCAATGAAATAGAAAAAGTAACGGATTTAAGTTAAAATTAGAGTATAGACTATAGCCTATAACGCAGGACTTTTATACTACTCGTAATTCACGCAGGCATAACCGCAGCATACAGCAAGTACCTATATCAAAATTTAGAAGAAAATTTAGAAACTTAATCTTAAAAACGACTTCCATTACGATATGTATATCCCTAAGGCTAATTATATAAAATTTACTGTTTTTAACATTGTATCCTTGAAACGGTGGTATTTCCAACCGACTTTAAAAAGAAGAAGGTTCTGAATTTGGTTAAAATATTATTATTATTATGTTTGTTACCTCATAACTTTGTCAGTTCTAAACCGATTTAGATTTTTTTTATCTGAAAGGATATACTTACAGATTGGTCCCATAGAAATTTTATCAAAATCGATTCCGTAGTTTAGTCTATAAATCAAAATCACTAGTTGTCGTCACAATTGGAGTCGATTTTTTTATAGGACACAATCTTTAATTATCATATTAAAATCAATACAATTGCAATTGTAATCCAAGGAGTATAATGTAAAGTACACAGTTCATCTAATAGCATTATTTGAAACGTACATAGTTGAATTTACTACGCTACTTCTTGAATTTATCAAATTTTAAACAATAAGAATTAACAATAGAATGTCAGATAAATATTGAAAAAAAAATGTTTACTTGTTTGTCTATTTTACAAACTCTTCTTTTATTTCGATTTTTAGATATATAATATCAATATTTTCATTAATTAATTTTAATATAATGTTAAAAAATACATACATATGTATCATATATTGTAATTAGGATTATATAATAATAATAAATGTAACTGAATCAATTTGTTACTTTTTTTATATTCCTATTATTAGGAGCCTACTTATATCTCATCAGGTGGGTACATTTTTCAACCATTTACAAAAAGAAAGAGGTTTTCAATTCGGTAGTTTTTTTTTTATACTTATTAACGCATAATTCCATCAGTTATAAGCTGATTTGGATTTGTTTTTATCTGAAAGAATAAGTATACTTACAGTTTAGTCCAATAGAAATTATATCAAAATCGGTTCAGTGGTTTTAAAATCAAAATAACAGATTTCACCACAATTGTATTTTTTTTGTAAAACAAAATCTTAAATTATTTTTAAAAACAATGCAATGTCAATTCTTTCCGTGCTATCGGCATACGCTGGCGGAGTACCAGTAAATGATAATAGAAATAAAGCAGGTCCATTGGTATATAATTAATCACTTCATTTCACCTGGAATTAAATGCGATAAAATCCAAGGAGGCCATGTGTAGGTCAACGTAACAAGGTACTTGTATAACTAGCAATGAATCCCGTTTACGTAAATGAAATGAAATGCTATAAATAAGATTATTTTTTTTATTTTTCAATCACTAGCCGATTGCTTTGGTTGATTCCATTCGAGTAAAATTTACTACACAAATAGACTACATTTAGGTCCTTATACCACTAGCGTGGTGCTTATTTACAAATATTAAGTACATTATTATAATTAACAGCCGTTAACTGTGCAGGCTTTCCCCTAAAGGGAAAGTTAGTTGCCACGTTTAGCATAATAAAAATGCATATTACAATTCTGACAATATCGCATAACAAAAATCAATATTGTATTCTACAATGTGTCTATAAATCAAGTTGTTCTTGCGGTAATAACGATTTTATACTGCTTCAAAGTCTATTTTTAATCATCATTTAAAATCTCTTCAACGACAGATGGCTCTGTTGCCGCTGTAACGAGAAAGCAACTTTATGTTGTGAATACAACAATCTGCTATTGATCACCAGATGGAGCTAGTGGGCCTAAAATGTAAGTTGGTTTCGCGATATTTACGGTTGTAATAATATACCCACTCTCTTTTCCATTTCATAGCTAATTTTTTCAAATAACTTCAAAAAGAAGCAGGTTCTCAATTCAGTTGTTTTTTTTTTTATGTTTATTACCACATAACTCTGACGGAGTTGTAAACCAATTTGAAAAATCCTAAAAGGATATATTTAGATCGGTCCCACAGAATTTTATCAAAATTGGTTTAATAATTTTTAAATTAAAACAACTGGTTTCGCCACAATTGAAGTCGTTTTTTTGTGGAACACTTTTGGGAAGTAAAAGAAATAAGTTTATTTCTTATGATATATTATTTTGAAAATTATTTTTACAAAAACAATTCATAAGATATTTTAAAAATTATGCTGTCAAAGGCAAATAAATCTTTTTATAGGTACCTATATGAAGAACTAATATTAAAAAAATTACCAAAACTTTGTTTTTATTTTCTGTACCAAATCTATTATTATTTTCATATAGATATATAGAAATAAAAGTAATTTTATGCATGTAAATGAACATTTTTGAATAGTTATTTTTTTATTATTTCAGCTGAGATTGGGTACTCAGCTG